GCTCTCATTGCTTTGTCACGTTTGACTTGCCTATACCGATCAGTAACTTCAATCACATCCTCTCATAACCAAAAGCTACCTAGAAATCCAAATTTTGCGTTGGAAGCCTATTGCCACCCAGCCCCTCGCAGTCGCGTCCACCCCAACATAAAGCGCACTGAACACGTGAAAAGCTCTTCAAATTCTACGTTATCGTGTGGTGGGAGCTGTCGTGCCTGCGCCGTAGGCATCTGAATCATGAGCACACGCTGGGAAAGCCTCGCAGTGCATTTGATTCATGAAGAACTTCTGGCTTCAGGCTTAAGAACAGCTCTCTTTTTGCTCGCTGAGGGCATGGGAGGGTCCGCTGCTTGGCTATTCGCAATGCTTGCTCTTCAGGTGGTGATCGGACAGCTCACAGACCTTTCGGCCACCAGCTGCAAAAAAAATTCTTGCTGCGGGCTTCCTCACTGACGCCTTGGCTTTGAGGCAGGCAGCCTTATCTGTCCCGCAGCTCCCACCTGAAAAAGATGTCGCGGCCGCGTTCTGTTGCGCTGGGCACATGACCAGGCTTCTAAGCCGGCAGCAGTCTTTCCAATCCCCGTCGTGAACGCAGAAAACCTCCAAAAAATCACTTACGCATCTGTCATCTGCTACTCGGGACACGAACTAATGGCAACAAATCCAGCGCAGCACTCAATCCTGCCTTGCTATCAACCCTGAGCGTGCAGGAGGTTTTGATGGAGAGAGCCGTCGCGCGCTCTGCGGATGCCTGAAATGCAGCAAGACAACAAATAGAACATCAGATGCATGTAACAAGTACTTGCTTTAAGCTTGTTGCCAGTGGCGACCATCACACTTGGTCAGTCTCGGCAGATCTACATCAAACCCAATCATCTGAGCCGCGTGCACTCAGCAGGTCCTCTTGACCAGACCAGCAAGCTTGCAGCGCCTCGATCTCCTCCGACCAAGTTTGAACATCTCATGGCAACAAAGAAAAAGCTATCATGGTCGAAGGCCTTAGTTTTTAGGCCAGTTAAGGCATTTACGGCTTATAGCCACTTAAGGCATTGTTTTTTCTGTGCTTTAGGCTTTGTGCCATTACGCCGGGCTCCGTTTGAGGGTCAAGGGTGCTTGTTTCAGCATGCCCTTCGCAACATCCCAAGGCTGCTCCTCGCCCAAACAAACCAGCAATTGTCGCAGACTTTCGACTGGAACGTCCCCGCGCATGGAAGGCAACTTGCGCACCGGTACGCTACCTTGGACGGGCGCTCCCCAGTGCCGAAGCTCGTAACCCTGTTCAAAACTTTCCCCGCACGTCCAGGAGCGCTCTTCGCCTGTTCTTTTGCGTGGCCGCTCGGGTGCGCAGCTAGGTTTTGACTCTCCTTAGAATTGTTTTTCCATTTTCCAAGGGGCTGGTGGGCAGGATCAGGAGCATGAAGTCCTATTTCACGGGCTTGAACGCTTTTAACGCCCCTGGAAACTCAACCTAGGCTGAAACGGCAGACAGGCCAACCATGCGAAGCGCACTGCAATGCCGTGGCGGCAGCTCAATAATAGAAAACCAACACTTTTTCAGGCATCCCTGGAACTTGATGCTGTCACTTTTGCAGTGCTTGGCCGGCTGGTGGAGGAATAACGAGCGCGTTACTTGGAAGCTCTGCACAACACCTAGTGCAAGTAGCAAGCACGTCGCATCAGGCTAAAGGCCCTTCGGAGAACAAAAACGCCTTTACTCTTTTTTCGGGCCGAGGCTCTTCTGCGTTGAAGCCCGCGGCCACTGCGCAGGCCTCTTTGGGTGTAACATGAAAATACATGTCTTGCGATCTGTATATGACATGCGCATTTAGATGGATGCACATGATGCAGCGGCTTGGTGCTTAACATATGCGTTTGCGTAGAACCCCGCGAAGTCTAATCTAAGTCGAAAATCCGTCGCTCCAGACACATGAAGCATTAGCTGAAGGCCTTGCCGTCGTCAGGCACTACTCCGGCGTCCTCTGCAGTGAAAAAGAATCATGGGGCAGTTCATGCCCTTTTCTGCTTAACATTGCCATTTCTGTTCTTCTGTGGGTCCCCTGGTCCTGGCACATGGCGAAATGCAGAAGCCTGGCCTCTTTTCGCGACGCCTCAAAGCCAGGCTGCGTGCATAGTGGACCCAGACAGGCTCTTGGGTCCACACGCTGCTGGCCTTTTGAACACAAAGGCGTTGCATGTTTCCCAGGCACTCACCCGGCCCGTGCATGCATTGTATCGATCGCTGTCCGGGACCCTGCCAGGGCCAAGAAGCTCTGGGTCTGAGCTAGGGTATCTGCGGGAGCCTGCGATGGAGTGGCGTCTGCGATGTAGGTGAAGTTTACCGAAACCAACTTGCCCAAGTTCTGCAAGACCTGGTAGAACTCTTGCCAAGGCCATCGAACTGCGAATATACAACTTTCATCGAATCTAAGCTCGCAGGTCTCTCCAATACAAAGAGCAGCTGGGCCCAGGCTGGAAGAAATGTCTGCTCGCAAAGCTTGGCATCAGGACCTGCCATCGGCTGGCAGCGCTGACAAGCCTTCAAGAATCGAGACGTCCAGAACTACATGCTCAACCCAAATCCGAATGCCGAAAACTCACCTGAATGCACATTATGATCGCGCAAACCACACAACCAAGGGCTTCAATCACATTCCCTGATCGTTCAAGATCTCTGTCCAAACTAAACAGTGCCCGGCGCGAAAAGGTAGATTCTTCTCTCAAAGACCTGAATTCAATTCCAGTGTGCGAGCCCTGCGTGCCGAGGGGCATTTGGACATCACGAAGAATTCAACAGCAACGGGTTCCGATTCCCATGATGTCGAGCCTCGACAGAAGGACCCGAGAGTTTCTTGAAGAGGAACCTGCCGCTTTCAGGAGGGGAGACCCAGGCCGTGCCAGCTCAGGCGGCGGCGGCTTGCCTCGGAAAATTACTCGTCTTCTCTCTTTTTCCTCTTTCTTTCCGTACTATGCAGTGCTGCAGTCTGCTACCAAGTGGCGTGGGCGTGGACGCGGCGTCTCAGCCGGTCACCTTCACTTCCCGCACACACAACAGGGCATGCTAGAAGTGCCTTGCACCTTCAGCAGAGTAGACAGCGCTGAGAACGCAGAGAACTGACCAAACCTGAAGCTCAGGGAGAAGCCGAAAAACTCTGAAACTCTGGCCTCAAAGAGGCTCTGAGGGTCTTGGCTTTCATCACATCACCCGGCCTGGGCATGTTTGGACATTCGCTGCGCTTAGCGCTTAGCTGTGCTCTTTTCTCCGGGCCCGCAGCCAGCTGGTAAGGAGAGACAGCGCAACATCCAGCTCTGGTCGATGGAGCGCTAGCGGGAGTGCAGAGGGCAAACGGCTTGCTTGCTTGCTTGCTTGCTTGCAGCGCTTCCAAGTGCGTTTACAATCATTCGCTTCACGTGAGCTGAAGGCTCGGGGCGAAGAACGTGCGAAGAACGTGCAAACTGCCCAAGCATTCAAGGAGCATTGCGGCTCTGGATGCCCAGGCCATCTGGAGAGTATTAAGCGTGACGCCAAGCTGTGTGCGAATAGTTTCGGAGACCTCTGGCATCCACCTCACGGCCGCCCCACACTTGAAAGGGTTTTTGTGACGAAGAGCCAAGCACCTCTGCAGTGGGCCGGACCCAGCAATGGTGCCAGGATTTGGGCTTCAGCCGCTTGGCCTTGCATGTCTTGCCATTTGATTCAAAATGTTCCAGATTTCTCGTGCATGCTTACATCTAATCTGTCGGAACTGCTGGTGCCTCCAGAAGAAATGCACGGAGCGGCGAGTCCCTCTGTGCCTGGAACCGCACCAAGCTTGAGGGTCATGATTAGGTCCCATGCTACACCAAGCTTCCACCCTCCGCAGTGATACAAGCGAGGCTGGCGGCAGCAGCCGCTGCAGCATGGGCATGAGCACGTTTTCCGCTAGGCTCAGATTGCCGGCACACAGCGAGTAACTGGCTCTAGTCTGGGTGGCTTCCAGTGGCTTCCAGCGCAGACCTCACAGCGCCGAGCCAAGGACCGGGCGCTGTGCGTCCTCAGAGCTGGGAGTGAAAGAGGTCCAGGCCGCTGCAGCCGAAGGATGCCGCACAAGAAACCACCGCCTCGATGTCTTGCCAGGGCTCTAACCCCTTGACAGCCCCCATGATCAGGTCTACACTAGTTTCGGGGTCAAACCCTTTCGAGAAAAGCCCTCAAATCCTGTGCCGCGAGAGTGGATGGGTATGAAGGGTATTTGCACAGATACGTAGTTCAAAAACGTCTGAATGCCAGCAGTAAGAGGGCCCAATGCAGAATCAGAGCAAAGCACTAACCCATGTATGGGAGCAACCATGAGCAGCTCTCAAAACCACTCATCACTTTCGACAATCCTTGACTGAGGAAGAATGACCCCACCAAAGCCCGAACACCCCTCTCAGGATGCTGGCAGACCTGGGGCCCCCGCACAAGCTCCGCACGCGGCTTTTCAGGAAAGCGCGCGGCCAAGTGTCGAAGCCAAAGCTCTCTGCGAGAAGGCTCAGCCAGGAGCTCCCCCAAACCTGCAGCTCAGGACTTTGCCCAAGAATCTCGAATCCGAGTCGCGTCAGTCGCCACGGACTGCAAGTAAATCGCACACGTTCTATTGGGTTTGTCCACATGTAGCAAAGCGCGAGACATGACACTCCACAACATAAAATACACCGGACAAGGAAATATCCTGGTGACAAAATCTTTGAACCAAAAGGCTTCATCTTTTTGAGGTGGGCCAGCGAGACTGCAAGCCATCATTCAACTGTTATGGGTTGCAGGCTCGCCGGTTCTGCCAATTTCATAAGGCACAACAACTTTGGATATCATCCTATCATGGCCTCCTCAATTCTTCAGAGAAATCCCGCATGTTTTGAGTTGGGCAATGACTGTAGGCCAAAGCCAAGCTGCGTCCGTCTGTGAAGACAGCTTCTGATAAGGAGGGGTCCAGACTTCGGGCAGCTGTACAGAAGAGCCCGAAAAATCCCAACGGCTTGGTCCTTGGGCAGATCGTGGTTCAATTTGTTGGTCCTTTTTAACGAATCAGGAGTTCTGGAATGGAACAGGGGCCTACCTAATGTTCGGAAAGAAACTTTCTTATGACTGCCGGTGCCTGCATGTGCCTGCAAACACTAGCAAACGCTCGGGCAATGCAACAGCACATGCGAACACCCAATACCGTAGGAAACGGTAAAGGAATCACACGTTCAATCCTGAGCAGCCACAACAAGAAGCATCATACATGTGCTGCTCGCGCTCCCATGGTGCGCTCAGATGTGGGTCGGACCCTGAAGCCTCTTAAGGTGGGACCACAAAGCCCGCGAAATCATTCACACAGCTTGCCAGCTGCTAATCCCGAGATAGAAGATATCATCCGATCGAGATGCGAGGCAGGAACTTCTTGATGCTCGAGCACTCGTCTCGCCAGAGATTTCAACAAGTCGCGATGCGAGTCCAGAGCCTGCTTTCCACCGGCCTCACGAACAAGCAAGGCTGCAGCACATTGTCTGATGAGACTTGACCGTACACTGCCTGTTCCGCCATGATGATCTCCACAAGGCTGTGCAAAGGTTCCAGCATTTCATCACCTTGCAGCACCCAAGACAGATATGCACGTCTGTCACGTCATATCAAGCCTTCTGCCACTGCGAAGCCGTCCAGCCCAGCTTCCAACACCTTCCGGGCCAGAAAAAACAATGTGCAGCAGAGCCACCCGAGGCTGCCTAGACAGTCTATGATGAAAAGTTGTCAACGCACACAGTGCCTGCCAAACCTCCGGCTCTCTGTCGCTGCTCCGCTGTTTGTGGCTTTCAATAGCCATGGCGGCCAGGGCTACAGCTCTTGCAGCGATTGCAAGTTCTCCTGTCCTTGATATTCGCACGATGGGCGTCCAAGCAATGGGAAAGAACATCGCGTTCTCGAGAATGCTTGGCGTTGCCAGCATGCCCAGCCAGAAGTGAAGTCTTGAGTTTATCGGTTTCTTGTAGACACCGGCTGTGTTCTTCGTGGCTTCCAACTCACTGAGCTCGTCCAGCATTGCCTTACTAGGCTACAAGCAACAATGCTGGACCAAGGAGAAAAAATAGAATGAAAACTTCATTGAAAACTCGCAATGACATGTGTATTCCTTTGCAGCTTGCAATGCTCTGTGGAAATCATCACCTTGAGCACAACCGCATTCAACGATGGACAAGCAAATGGCACGATATTCCTGTCGGGGCAAGGCGACCAATGCTTGGCTTCCGAGAGAAACCGCTGAAAGACGTTGGCAAGCGTTTTCATGGCTTCCCAAACCGTTTCGGCGCTTCGCGACATGTGGGGACGGGATCGCAGAGGTTGCGGGGTGGGCGGGCCACGGAGACAAAGCAGCTGAAACCGCATGTGACCATGTGAGGCAGCAGAAATTACGAAAGAAGTCTGAGACTAGTACACGGAACCTTGTAGGAAGCACCTTGCACTTGGCAGAGCACAGCTTTGCAGTCCTGGCTGTCTTCTCGGAACATGTCGACACAGCTCATGGCCCGCAGCAGTTTGAAGAGCACTCGAGATCCCAGTTGTTGAATTTTGGCCTGTGTCACAGCAATGGCAATTTGCACAGGCTCGAAAAGACACGCAGTGCCTCTCGGGCTATGGTGGCGATGGCGAAGAAAACGGAGGTGGTGAACCATCGCCTCTTAGACTCGCAGAGATCCGGCTTTTTTCTGCTTCCCTCCGCTTCCCTCTGTTTCGCTCTGGCCTCGCTGGCCCTGAAGCTCTGGCAGCTGCATGACTGCTCACGGCCAGTGTCCACTGCTCCAGCGGTGCTGCGAACCTATCAGATCTGTTCAGCAGGCAGACGCTTCCTAGTCATGCAGCGTCACACCACAAAGCACAGAGCCTTGTCACTTGTACTTCCTTAGCTGGGCCAGAGCTGTCCTCTGGTATGCTTCTCATGCTTGCACCACCAAAGCCTGTAGGGCCATAGATTCAGCGAGTTTCTTCTGCCAATGCAGCAGCACACTTTCCGATGGCCAAGCAGAATCGAGGCACCAGCACCTAAAACAGCCCCAAGGATGGGTGACAGCAGCAATAGCTGAGAGGTTGATGGGGCCATTCATGCAAAAGCCAACCATTCACAAGACTCACAAGACCTAGGCAGAAACTCCTTGCCGAATGCTCCGGGTTTGACCCTGACTTTGACAGCCTCCAGAAATACTCTGACAAATGAAAAAAAAGCGGGCCTGGCAGAGGGCGCTCAGTCGGTGGCTCTCCAGATCAGCAGCTGCCACATCCAGGAGCCGCACGGGCAAGAGCTCGGACACGAGGGTCTCGCACAGCCCGGCTACCAGCTCCACATGCTGCCCCGGCTCACCTCGCTCTCCCGGTCTTTGTCTGATAACCAACGTGATACTTAACGTGCATCCAGCGGATGGAAAAGGCAAAGCTTCCGCTCCTTGTTCAGACTTGCAAAGCGGCATACGTCCAGTGCAGCAGTGAAGGTGCACTGTGCCAGAAACCCAGAGTCTCTCGCCAAGCATGCGCTCAAAGCAGCTTTGATAGGAAGCCGGGATAACATGAAGGCAGCCAAACCTCAGAGGACTTTAGAGGTGCCAACCAAGGGCCGCCACAAACTTGAACTTGAAGCAAGGGCACAGTGCGCTGGCGTCAGTGGCCTTCCCGAGGTCAACAGCGCCAGTGAGGGGCGCTGCCACTCCCAGCTTTTGGCATCCTTTGGCCAGGCCTCGTGGACCACAGACGACAGGCACCGGAAACGAACAAACTCAAAGGCTTTCCCGGCGGCTTCCCGCATTCCCGTAGTCGCCTGCTGGAAGCGGAGTACGCGCTCCAACAGCGAGGTGCCGGGCGTGCCCGGCGCGCTGGGCGCGAGCTCGCAGGAGGCCTGCAGTGATGCCGCCAAGAGTGCGGCCGTCGGCTCCGAGAGCAGTGGCCAGACCTCACGGAGGTCACGGCTATCCCCCAAAACCTGAAACATATACTGCAGTGCAAATAGTGCAGTGAAGCCCTGATGGCTTTTGAGGGGCCGGCAGCCAGCAGGCTCTGGAGATGCTGCATGAAATACTGGGAGGTCCAGAGATCGGACATCGAACACCTGGCAGCCAGTTCCGCCCAGACGTGTCGGTGCTCGGCTGGAAGCTCGTTCACCTGGCAGGCCAAGGGCAAGCGAGGGCTTCTTCTGCCACTTCTTATTCGCTTCTGGCTCTCGGCTCCCCTCATAGAGGAAGGGCCTGTGACATGATCTCCCCAAGGAAGAGTACGTAGCGATTGTTGTCAATCGTCTGCTGTGCAAGGGGACTTCCAGGATACCATGCAGAGGACATAAACCTCTGCAGGGAACAGCGGAGGTTGTAGAAACTTCGCCATTTTGGACCAAGGTACCCACCAAAGAGTTGGAGGTGGTCGAGGATGGGGCTCAAGAGATCTTCGGGGCGGTCGCGAACCACTCGCATCGCCAACCTGGCACATACGAGTCTGAGCGTCCCTACTGAGGAGATCTTTTTGATTCTCGAAGAGCTCCGCTCCTCGCTACCAGCGCCGAGGCTCCGAAGGCCAGTTGCACGCTCTGGGGCGAAAGCCTGGGCGCAGATGTTTTGCATCTGGAGGAAGGCAACTCAAACCGAAACATGGCCGGGCCACGGAGGGCTGACCCAGGCCAATGTCGTGCAGGCTGCAGACAGCGCTGTGCCCAGTGCCACAAGCTCCCTGCCGCTGAGCAGTTCGGTCTGATCCTGCCGACCATTCCCACGGCTGTACAGAGGCATTGCAATAGTGCCATTTTGTCTCCTCCAGTGCACGGAGGCTTTGGAAGAGGACATCAGCTGCCTGGATAAGTCAACGGCTCTGCTGAAAAGAAATGGAAATCCAACAATTATGTGTTTCTCAAAGGTGAGAGTGGTCTGTACTCTCGTTCATGTTGCAGGAAAAGAGATGATGAGAATAGTTTCTGCACCGACCTCGGCCAACCTTTGCTGCGCCAGAAGCGATGCCGCCTCTGTGCTAGCCAGCTCGAGGTGGCTGGGCGGCTCCTTTGCACAAGCGGCTAAGAGACGTCTTTCTTAAGGACAACACAGCTGGCCTCCTCCGGAGTTTCAGGGTCTGAGGCACCCAGGGCTTCTGGCTTGGACTTCCGGAGCCCCATGCCACATTCTGCTCAAGCACGCATTGCCAACATCTCTACCATGTCTCTCTGAACAATAAGGCTGCGAGCATGTCTGCCACCCAGCCCACACACTAAACATCCTCTGGTACAGCTTACGCCCTGACGCCTCAGCTGGCCACTGATTCTCCGGCCCCTCCAACAGCTCCTGGCTGACTGCTCTCTAGCTTTAGATTGCGTCTCAGTGCAGCTGAACCGCCGACCTTCAGCAGGACGCACTCCTGGGATTCTCCAGCCTGAGAAATGCTCCAGAGTCAACCACACAGCGCAACTTCCACCGAGGGACCAAGCTCGTCTAGCTGTGACCTTTGTTTGTCTTTGTGGATCCCTGCCTCCACACGGCGCACGGGATGCTCTCCCGAGCAACAAGAGCTCTGGAAGGCCTGGAATCGCGGAGAGACCTCCTTGAAACCCTCAACTCGTCATCCCTGCCTTGCGGCAGCGCGTGTTGCAGCTGTCGCCACGTCGTCTCACCTTACTTGTGCCAGCAAATGCAGCAGGTTCCGCCCCCCATTATGTTCGAAAAAGGGTGTGTAAATGCAGTGTAGCCTGCCGGCTGCGTCGAGCCGAGTGATCCCGCTGGTACTTTGACTATAGAAGCAACAGCAACCAACCCAGTTGTGTTCGCTTCGCAGCTTGCCTGACTTGGTTGCAGGGTTGTAATTGTTTCTATTTCAATTATTTTCACTATCTTTTAGGATTGTTTCATGGAACCTCTATTTGCTGAGGATTTTATTTGCCACATAGTCGTACGGATGGAGTCTCCATCACATGGACGCATCCGTTTCTCAGCCTGCTTTGCGCCAAGTTGCTTTGCTACCACCTTCTCCTGCTTCCTGCATTGAAACCGCATGGATACTTCTTATAGACTTCCTCAAGTCAGGCTCCTTGCCAACAAGTCGATGGAATGGCCCATCCCAGTCATACTCTGGGAACCTGTCGATGTGGGATCCAGGAGAGCAAACAGAAAAAGGCTTGTCTCTGGCCTTCCGCACCGGAGCGGCCGCAGCACCACCCGGCTGGCAAAGCCCAGGAACCGTAGCCTCAACGGCTCTGCAGATCTCTCGCCATAGCCTGAAAAAAAAACTTCTCTTCTTGGTCGAGGACAGCGTGCTCTGCCTCCGTGGAGCCTAGGTCTCAAGCTTTCCTTTAAGCGCCTCTTGCTGAGGGAGGCAAGGGCCTCGTTGAACTCGGGGAAGCGGATGCCAAGGACATCGGCGTCCTCATAGCTGCAGTCGTTGTGTGACACGTAGCGTCGTAGCTGAGCCGTGAAGATGTTCGTGAAAAGTAGCTTTGCAAAGTCTCCTGGAAAGTGTGCTCGGCAGGCAGCACCCTGAGCACAGATCGGGTTAGGCTTCGCCGCTTAGCAAGCCATGGGGCTGTTAGAATGTGAAGAGCTCGTTTGAATCTTCTCTGAGTGCGGAGCGGCAAACCGTGAGCTCGCAAAACAAGGTTGCACAGGACGTGGAACTGCACAGCTGTTAAGGTAAGCAACTTCTAATGCCCAGCTCAAGGGGCCTCCCATGCATGCCGCTCCGGAAAGTAGAAGCTCCGGTGCCTGGACGAACAAACCAGCAGTTGTTCCTTTCTAGTTGTGTTGCCAAGGACTGGGCTGATGAAGGTCTGCCTGCGCATACAGCCTCACAGGCAAGCAATCGACTCAATTCCCTGTGTGCTTTGTTGAATGTTCCTGCAGAGCCAGGTGCTTGGGACCCTGGCAGGCGGCGCCGAACTAGGCAGCTTCTGGCGTAGCGGTTGATGAGCTCCGCTGCCTGCACTTGTAGAAGCCCAACAGGATGGTTGGGCTTCCGTAACGCAGCAGCAGCTTAAGTACAAAGTGCTTTGGCAACGTTGGCAGCTTCGATGAACTAGTCAAGGCTGCGCGATGCTGCGCGTGTATGCTGTACGTAAAGAGGCCAAGTGAACTTGTGCAGCCTTCCGCTCCCTCCGTTGGAGACTGCGCTGAAGTCTTGGCACGGCAACGAGGTAAGGGACAGCACAGCACAGCACAGCACGCAGCATCCAAGGCTTTGGCATCCACCTCCGCACACGGGCCTGACAGTGCCAAGTGCAGCCGTGCACCCAACACATCCCAACACCCTTGGATAAAACATGCACCTTCTGCTCCTTGTGCTCCTCCTTCTGTACTCCTCTCCTTCCACTCCCCCTGTGCTCCTTGTTCATCCTTGCTATTTTTCTTGTCGGTCAATTCTTGTGATTGTCTCAGCTTCTCCTGGCACAGCTCTGACGGCTTCGCCGTCACACCACGGAGACTGCTGTCTTTTTCAAAACCAAATCATGCAGCAGCTTAGTCAGGTGCTTCGAGAATCCAGCTTTAAGCCATTCTCCACACCTAGCCTGCTGGGAAAGCGTATGTCAGGCTCATTCTTCCTCCTCCAAGACCCCTTCTAAGGCTCTGAGTTCGCGCTTCCTGGGTTCACGCGCATGCAGAGATCTCTCCTTGTGAACTGAGGTGGTGAAGCGTTCGTGCAGCTGAGCGGCGTCTTTGGCAAGTCGTGCGATTCACTAAGGGTCTTCTTGATTTCGTTTAGCAGGAAACGCTTGAGGATCTGCTCCTTCAAGCAGATTCATCTTCTCGGTTGCACGCGCAAACTGCGCCCTCATGCCCGAGGTCCTCGTGCTTGCCACGGCAGATCAGGTCCTCCATCTCTGGCTCGACTGCTTCCGCATCTTCGGAACTTAGCAAAGCCATGAAGGTGGCATCTGTCCGAAGTCGAACAGAGACCTGGCAATGTCAGCTTGCACCATGGTCGACGTGCTGGGCAGACATGTGCTGAGAACGCGACATGCTGCAAAACATCGTGGCTCCATCGTGCCGCGGCCAGGACGAAGGCCCTTGTCTTGTCGCACAAACGTTGCCATCAAAGCTGGGCCTTACCCACCGCACCTGTTCGACCTCAGGCGACGAGATGCCCAGAGAAGAGCGTGGCCGTTCTGCTGCACCGCTGTCAGCGCCACCTGTTCAGCCGCAGATATGGAGGCAAAACCTTCAAAACCTGGATCGAAACGCACCTCCTCATCATCTCGGAGCTCCTTGCTGACCAGCTCCAGGGCCAGGCCATCTAAGCGAACAGCCTGCAATGTGGACGCTGATACTCATGAGACTCCGGTACAAACTCAACGCCTGACTTCAACAACTTCACACTGCTGCAGCTCTGACAGTGCAACAGCTTCGCTCCAGTTGTCTTCCATTTTGGTTTCACTGCTATGGCTATTGCTCTGTTGTGTCGTCTTGGTCGTTGTTGCTGGTGCCGCATTGCTCTTGTCATCGTCGCCGTCATCGTCGCTGCTCTGCTGCTCGTCTTTTGCTTAAAGAGTGACCATCTTGCTTTCTACGATATGAAAGATAAGTCCTGCATTTGTTGCAGCCTCTCCCCATGTTGCTGCTGCAATACGACGTCACGTGCTGGGAGCCGAGGGGCGTCTAAGACGAGCTCACGGTCGCTGTTGAAAGACTCTGGCAGTACGGCTCCATTGCGGACCGCCACCGCAACCACCTGAGCGGGCAAAGCCGACTGCACGGAGACGTCAATCGGCTGGAACAACAGCAGGAAGCGAGAAAAAGCCAAACAATTGCACCGGGTAGCTATAAGTTGTGACTTATCTAGGGCCAAGAGCTGTACACTAGTAAAGACTTCAAATGCGACCGGTGCACAAGTCGTGCGCAACGGCAACCGGACGACAACGCGACGACGATGCGACGATGACGCGACGACGACGCGACGACGACGCGACGTCGCAACGACGGCGCGACAACTACGTAACGATGATGTCACTGCGCCGTCGCCGCACCGTCGCCGCGCCGTCGTCACGCCGTCGTCGGACTACCGAAATGAGCCCTAGTTTTGGCCGAAACGAGGGCTTATTTCGTGCGACGACGGCGCGACGACCACGCGACACAATGCGACGACGGCGCGACGACGCCGTGACAACGCTGCGACGACAGCATGACAACGTCGTCGCGTTGTCGTCGGGTCATCGCCGCCTCGTCGTCGGGTCGTCGTCGCCTCGTCGTCACATAGCCGTTGCATTGTCGTCACATCGTCGCATTGTCGTCACATAGTCGTCGCATAGTCGTCGCATCGTCGTCGCATCGTCGTCGCATCGTCGTCGCATCGTCGTCGCATCGTCGTCGCATCGTCGTCGCATTGTCGTTTCGTCCCGTCACACCCCCGCCCCCCTTCTTATCCACTAGAGAACCTTCGCACACGGCTTCCACCACCACCACCACCACTACTATCATCATCACCAGCAGAAGCAGCGACGAACAGCGTGTCTCGACGAGAAGAACCAACAGGGCACCATCTGGGCCAAATCATGTGCAACGCTACAACAAGAGAAGCAGTTGCAGCAGTAGCAGCTATCAAGAACTTGATGGGCATTCGCGTTGAATTCTTGCCATGCTACAAGAGGTGAACCAAGAAGTACTGCAACCAAATTCTGAAACAAATTTGGCCCCTAAGCTGGCCTCTCGGTCCTCGCGAAGCTCGTGTGAAGCATGCTCCAGGGCAGCTCCAGACCTAAGCGCAACGTTACCACAGCCACGGTGGCTCTGAAGATGCAACGCGCAGTGGTCTCAGAAGGGCTCGCACTGGCCGACAGCCACCATAACAAGCTCCTCCCAAAGAAGTTCAGAGAAAGTCCAATCCAAACAAGATGATATCAGAAAGCGCCTTGTCTGCGCGCAGTTCCTCTGGTAAGGCTACCTCAGTTGGACACGGGCTCTCGCAAATGGTGAGTGTGGGCATTGTTCTTGCGATTGCACCTGTCAGTAACATCATGGGCCTTTGCGTTAGAACATTCCGATTTTGCCTCTGCCAAAAGCCCGAACGTACAAGAGCAAAACATGTTTTGCTCTTGTACGTCAGTGTTGTATGTCAGTCTCGTTGCCGTGCATCACATTTGGAGTCTCAGCGCCTAGCGAACACCTTTCTATTGCATAAGAAGAGCTTAGCTGCCTGGGATTCATCTCTTCCTATGTAAGCTATAGTCTAAACTCCTAGTATCCCCCTTAATAAGCCCTGCAATAGTCGCCTATATAACCCTTGTATACTCCCCTTTGAGGAGTTTAGACTAGAGCTCATATCACGAGTGTACAATTTCAGTGAGGCCCCCGCCAGGGCATCGCCCCGCGATCCCAGCACCTCCCAGAGCTCAAGATGGAAACTTAACGAAAAAAGTCTAAGCATGTACTAAGCATGTAGAATTTACGTCAGGACGCCACAAAGAAGTTTGGAGGAGCAGCTTCAGCTTCAGATTAACCTTTAGGGTCTCTGCCTCCTGCAGGAAACCGCGGTCGCTTTTGAGCTCCTCAGGTGCTCTGCTGAGCATGTCCGGCTGCAGCGCAATGGCAGCGCGCAGAAACTCCGGATCCTTCCAGAGGTCCTCTGCAGCTCCACAGCTTTGAGCTTTGGAGGACTCGCAACCAGAATCAGCACCTTGTGCCTTAAAAAAGGAGAGAGAGAGAGAGAGAGGTTTCGTAGAAACAAACAGAGCTTTCTAAGGTACTTCTACATAAAGGAAAGCCCTCATTCAACCAAAGAAAGCAGCGCAGAACGACACAGCATAAAAACCAGCGCTCCTCGGAGGCGGAGGCCAGAGCCCCTGGGCGGTTTTTCGCCAACTCCAGCACCAGCGAGGGGTCTCTGCGGAGCTCCGCTGCAGCATAGAGCAGCGCCTCAGAGGCGGAAAAAGGGGAGAAAAAAGGGCGGAAGAATGGAAATGGAAATGGAAACTAGGTAGTCGGCTGACCTGCCGCCCTTGTGTCTTGCACGTTACGAGAACGCAAAAACACTGTAATTTACAGTGTTGTTGTGTTATGAGGCCTATTTTGCAGCGTGGAATTTCCAGGAAATACTTACGTCAGGTGATAATTTTCGGGAACATGGATACACTAGGAACATGAACGCCATTATGTTGGCCAGCACGGATGCTCTTGAACATGGATGCACTAGGAACCTGGACGTGATCATCTTGGCCAGCATGGATGCTCTGAATCATAGATGCACTAGAGACATGGCAAATTACAGATTTCCTGTTCTGCCGCGCATCTAAATACGGTAAATTACAGGCTAAAGAGCCGCTCCCCTGCATAAACACGTGTTAAAGGGGCTCAAACGTGCGGCTTTGAACAGGAGAATTGTCTTTTTTTCGACGAGGCTTTTTGCATTTCCATACATGCCGAAGACACATCCAAGACATGAAAATGTCCCAAAACCTACATTTTTTGAGCATTTTGACATACTGCTCGGACGCTTGCGTAACCCCGAAAAAGCCTGAAATTTAGAGCCAAGGCGAGTCAGCCGGCTGGCGGAAACTACTATAGTACATTGGGGCTGCATAGGGATAATGGAAAGAAAGATGGAAACCACTGTTGTCAAATAAGGTATGCATTGGGGTTATAATAAGAAGAAACTGGAAACCACTTTATTTTATAAGGGTATATGCTGAGAAACACCAATTGAGACATCCAACAAATTCGGACCCGCAAGTGGGGGATAAGGAGGGATGAGGAGGAGGCATGGACGCCAAGGGAAAAAGCAGAAACCACAAAACCCAGTCTGTTGAAAGATGCTTTGTCAAGCAGCCGCTCCACTCTGCTGCACCGCCGCTCTGACCAAAGCCCGGTCCTCTCCAAAACAATTAGATCGGTCCCCAGTAGCGGACATGTTCCCATCTTACAGGCAAATCACATCAAGCTTCGGGATGTCCACCCCAGCTAAAGCGGACGGACGCCGCTAGCCGAGTTGGTCAAGGCAAACCAGCAGTGTCCGAAGGCACACGGCGCAGCCAAACCATCACTGTATCACGAAGGCCTGTGTCCACCCAAGCAGTTCAGCGCGATCACCTGTAACGACTGCCCGTGGCCGTTTTTACGCGCTGCCCTTAAGGACTGACAGCTGCCGTGAAAGGGAAAACTGCAAACCATGCAAATGCGTAAGAGGGGTTTTCTGTCGTGATAAGAAGTACATAGTACACATCTGCATGGCTCACAGTGCGGAGTTTCTCGTGAGACCATTTTATGACATATGTACATAGGTTGCCTTCAATTCAAGCCCCCGCCCGCCCTGTAGCACATGCGTACCCCTCATCATTCATAATTGTATGATGTTGCCAAGTATGGAACATAGTTTCTACTAGTTTAGGTAGGTTCCAGGTTCGTTCCTGACCTCACGTCGACTGTAAAAGCCTACCATAACCAATTTTCGGGTCTCTCCAGGAGAATCTTTGACACCCAGTCCTTACGGAGCCGCTCTGAAGCGAACTGCAGAGCCTCACCTCGGTGGCGCACCGCCTGCCACACGACTTCTCACAAAAATTCTAACCCGTCAGCCAG